CAGCATCAATGCCACACCTTGTGTATGTGAAGCATTTTGTCCTTCATGGCCAGAGTATAACAGGAGCTCTCCTGTAGTTAGTCGTTGTTGTCCAACTTGCGTTCAATGTGTTTCACTGATCCCAAGCACCTCTAGGTTGTATCTCCTCATTTCTGTGGCAATTTGTAAGGCTCTCCCGATGTCCCACATTGTACGAACATTCCATGTACCTAAATAAATGGTTGCTCTGGTTGTCAGAAGGGGCATCGGCCTCGTACCTTCCGAAGGAATTCGGCTTTCATCATGAGGCGTCATAATTCTTCCAAATGAAAACCTTCTGAATCCCAGGGCAGAGTTTAAAAGGTTTGAATAATTTTTTCTGGTCAGCGTTTTCATAGCGAGTTAGTTTTCTACAGGATGGGGACGCTAACCTCATGCCTAACCCTCCTCCTTTATCCGGGCTTGGGACCGGCAGTAGCCCCCGGAGGGACTCCAGGCGGAGTTATATAGACATCTAAGCTATTTAAAATTAGGACTCTCTCGCCTTCCACATTTCATCTCATGCCAGTCTGGCCGGACAGGTTCTGCTATGCAGAAGCTGACTTGAATGAGCACGGTGTGATTGATCAGCTTTCAAAACTCGTCGCAGTAGTGAAGACGCTACCGTGCAATTTTAACAGGTGTGTCATAGAGAGTATATTTACTGGTGGTGTTTCAGAGCCTTACGACGCACTGAAGAAGACTGTTCTTGAACATGGGGATTTGACCGACCGACAGAGGTCATGCCAACTTTTCAACAACATCGACTAGCATTATGGCTCAGCAACAGAAATGTTCCTACGTATACTAGAGGTCATTGGTTAACGGACCTTGATGGGGCTTCTCAGACAAAGAGAGGCTTCGAAAAACACAAAGTGATCATACGAACCTCCGTTATTTTCTGACTCGTTATGTCATTATTTATCGTAATCATAGACCCTCCCTAACTCCTCGAAAGAGTCCTTCACGAAAAAGATCTGTCCCTGAATGACGAGAGGTAGACTATCCTGTTTGGTGCTGATGTCATGACAAGTATGTTAAGTCTCCTAGAAATTGAGGAAAGCCCTACTATTATTATTATACTGTTCTCTAATCTCCGAAGTATCTTACACGGAAAATTCTTCAGGAAACTTTCCGCTGTCTCGCGTTAGCGGCAGCCGTTGCCAGTAAATTTAGCTGCAGTTGTACATCACTGATATGATGAGAAAAGTTCCCTATCTCTTCGACACTAAGGCAGCACTTAGTGCCCTCCCTGCGGGTCCTAACAACCGACTTCACGAACTGGTCTTCAACTTATAGGTGGCAAATGAGAAATAAATTACCACATTTGGCAAGCGATATATTTATATTAATGTGAGCTTATGCGAAATCATTCGCCGGATTTTTGTTGTTGTAGATGGTTGTATGCCAATGATTGGTATAGACATGCTCTGACACCACGATCTACTTATCGACAAGCATAAACAGAGGTTAGTGGACAAAATTACTGAATTATCTGTCTGCGTATCTCCCTTTTCCGGTTGTGGATTATTCTCAGTCACAGAAAGGCTAATATTAAAACTATTTTATCGATTTTATCGGCTCGACGTCTTCAATACGTTGAACAGAGTTTATCATTCAGGTGTTCGAGCAACCGTCCGGTTCATAGAAGAACGATTTTGTTGGTCTTATATGAATAAACATATGAAGTAGTGAGCATGTTGCTGTGTAAGCTCCCATAAATCTAGGATGATTGGACACGAGAAATGTTCTTTCAGCCATCTCCAAACTGGACGCCTGTTCTGACCATGTTCACATTGATTTGATAGAACCTTTGCCGCCTCAAATGAGTACTTTTGCCTCATATCGTGTTTAGACCGTGTCACTTGATGACCAGAAACACTGTTCATCGAGGACATTACCGACGAAACAGTGGCACTTGCCTTCGTTGAACGATCGGTAACAAAACTCCGTTGCGCTTCAAATATCACTACAGTCAGTGGACTTCAGTTCAAATATGAATATTTTCGTTGTCTTATTACACTACCAGTCGGCAAACTCCGGATACATATATCATCTTTAAGCCGAGAACGGCTTCAAACACACAAATGTTCTCCCTATTTGAGTGGCTAGTTTGGCTAGCAACTTTTTAACCCATATATATTGATCAGTCTTAGACGACTGGCCAACACACCATCTGAGACCTTTTCACAATTACACAGTCCTGAATAACGAAGGATTCGCTGATTCATAGAGTACAGGCCGATACACTAGTGCATTGTTTTGAAATGAAGACATGAAGCCCTTAACGTGTTATAAAAAATTGGAAAGGGATATTTATTGTGACCAGTATTCATTAAAAACTCATTAGCCGCTGCGTCACTCATACTTTATGAATTTTCTTTCTCTGAATCACTTCCTATTTTAATTAATATCTGACGTATTCCCTCGTATGCGAGTAAAGGTTTTAGAAATTCAATAACGCTGCCTTGATGTCTAGTGCACAGTGTAACTGCGAGAAAGTAGACACCAATTCGGTTTTATATGTACTAGGTAAACCCAAGCAATATTTTGACAATCAAGAAGGGTTAGTAACAACTCAAGATGGGTGGTTAAGAGTTGATCGAAGACATCCTGATGATATCAAAAAATTACAGTTAAGCAATTATTTGCTCTTATTTTGAGTAGGCATTGCATTTCCTGTTATCCTATATTGAATGTTGAAAGTTTTGTGTGGTTGAAATAAGGACCTCGCGCCTCAAATGGTCTGTTTCACAACCCGAATAATGACATTCTGCAACTACCAGTCTGTCATCTCCTAAATATTATACTAAGGGTAACTGCCAGCAGTAAAGTTCTACCAAACTTCTACCTCTATACTCTTCCTACTTCATTTTAATCTTTGACTAACGACATAAAGTCTCTAAATCTGATGCCACTGATATTTTCTTGGGCGCCAAATGTTGCAATGTACATGAACTTCATTTTGTCAGATTATCCGAGGTCGAAAAACAGGATCTCTGATAAGGCTAAGGTTTTTAGAAGAATCACGTTTGAGAACATGCCTGAGATGATTTAATTGTAATCCATCTATATTTAATATCGAGTTTAACTCACTATCCACATCACACATATCACAGAGATGATCATCAATGCCTCCAATTATATCATCAACGTAGTCATAACTCAATATATTAGTTTACCTCCGTTATCAGAACCACGGATGCTGAAGTACAATCTAATTAACCATTGAATGAACTGAAACTCCCTCCGGTTGAACATAGACCTTGACTAAGAAACGCGACTAGGATCGTTGGTCAATTCGATCCCAGATAAAACAACCAATGTGTAGCTCGATAATAGAAATCATAGGCTAAATCTGAATGCGTAAGGGAAGTTCTGACAAACAGGGTGGCTGAATGATTTCTCATAATGTTAAATTCTAGTTAACCCTCCACTCTGGTTATTGAGATAAAATAAATGACTGAAGTGTATACAACGCTAAACTGCACAATGTAAAGAAGGAAATAATTGAGTAAATTTTAGCGTAGATTAACAACGATATCACTGGGTCGGCTTTTGTAATGGGAGGTTTCTAAGTTTTTTTTGGTTTGTAAGTTCACCTCAATATTGATGTGTTTTCATAACTCCAAATAAAAAAGTAGTTACATATTATGCTAAAACGTTACGTCGTTGACATTTCTATCAACATATACTTACTACTCAGTGAAAAAATTAACAATTTAGTGATTGTTAAAATATTAGTAAAGTTTTGAGATATTTTTCAGTGAAAAACTGAAATAAGTTATCGAACGGCTGGTAGGTAGAAAGTTTTGAAATGAAAGCTTTATCCCAGAATTATACTCTGATAACGTCCAAACCTATAGACACGTATGATATTCAGTGTGGCGAATTCATTTCTCCGCGCTATGATAGGATGTTTAAGCCACTAAGTCATCATCAAACAGTCTACAGTTTCATCTTCAAACAGTTTGCAGATAGCTACTGTTATGATATGAATTCTCATGCTGTTTTTAAATCTTTAATCAATCACGCTCATTTAGTGTAAGTTAGCACATTCACGCACATAGGACAGGTGAAAAGTTATTGAGCTTCGAACAAACCACCCATCAGGTTGAACTTTTTTACTTTAGACAACAGGTTGCTGACCCGCAGACAGTCTATCAAACATTGCCAAGGTCAAGCATGACTGGTTGGTGTGATGTACATTTATCAAGTCCTACAAATAGATTTTTATTTATAACACGTTTATTTTATGAAGTCGCCAACGTAGGGCATCACATAAAAGTAGTTCATGTCAGGTGTCAACCGCTAGACGTAATTCGGACTTGAGCTAGGAAGTCCCACTCTAGTAATCGAGAACACAAATGGAGACAACCAAATGTTATTGAATATCGAAATACAGAATTTCATGTTGAAATCTGAGAACCATACAATAAATATTTCATTTGCGAAATGTATACCAATTGTCCCAGACTTTAGTGTTTCTTCCTTTCCACACCAAGCACTCTCTGTTACCGTTCTCTTCTATTAGATCTTCCTAACCTAATGCTAGGGTTTTCACTTTCTGTTAGTGTTACATACTACTGATATCGATCTGCATAAATAATCTGCACCACAATATTATTTCCGTCCAACACAAGTAGATCATGGTCATTCACACAGATCACCTACATTATTGATCTAGCTAATCCTAAAGAGTTACGAGCTAAAATGGAACTAACATCAAATTGTCTTTGATTTATTAGTTGTTCCAAGTTTACATCAGTTCAAGACAAAATATACTTTTCTTATTTCCAGGTTTTCGGAATATACCCTTTCTTTTATTTGTTTACAGTATTATGTAGCTAAGGTGTCGAGACAACTTGTATTATACAATACAATATTAATGGTTTACAATAATAAATTGAATTACAAATAATTGAAATTAGAAAATTCCAGTGAGTTGACCAAATCAAGTATGAATATTTGGACTTGATTTATTACATCTTCAAAAGTTTCAGAGTATCTATTGCAGTACCCCAACTTAATGCAACACCCATTGAACCATGTCCATAATTATGTATAATTGGTAAAGGTTCACAGGTAATTTCAGGTTGATACCATTCAATCTTATAGTAATTATTTGATATTTAAAAAAGAAAGAAAAAAGAAATTATCTTTAAACAGCTGACTTGTTAAAGAAAATATTGCACTATTTGGTGAAATAGAGTGTTGTGTTTGTAAACATAGTGAAGTGTACCGGTTCATTGTATCACTTTAAGGGTGTTTTTAGACTCGTGGGGTCCAATCCTTGTCGGGTAGAAACAAGTATCAACCTCAGACAATGGATGAATGGTTGAGCGGCCATTCATGGATTGGTGGAAGTTCTACACTAACACTATTGAATTCCGGCTCAGTGGAGTAAAGGTTAGGACTGAGGGCCCTGGGCTGGAATCCTGCCAGCGGGATCGTGGATGAGCACTACTGAGGAGTTCTACAATATGGCTTAACGGCTGTTCGATGCTTTTAGGTTTTCATTGGTGGTCTAACATTAAACGATTCATGATCTCAATCAAAAAGATTATGAACATGTCTAACCAAGATATAATCATGTAAATAAAGTTGAGGTCATTCATGTAGGTTTTGTGTTCATTCCGTCATTTAAATGTAAATTGTATCCAGATGCTTCAAACATTTCCGTCATTGAAGGGTCAGCGAATATGACTTAAAACATTATAGAATGACTGTACTATATTAGCAAAGGATTATTCTTCAAAAATTTCTGTCTACTTTTTAATAACTTTTTGGTTTATTAACTTTTTCATATACTCTCTAACTGTACAGATCAATTTACTACTAACTTGTAAAAAGTTAGATACCAGTCGGAATGGATCATTCGTATATTTATCCAACAGTGTACACTTGAACATTTGACATAGGATGATATGATACACCGAACCGGATTATCAAATCGATTACTCAGTTATTTGTAAATCAATAAATTTCAGTAAAAGGACACTTGAAAACTTACTTCTAATCTTATAGATGGTCTGAATGGTCGTAATCCTGTCCATTCTTCAACTATTGGTGATTTGCCTAGTCCTCCATGCCAAGTGTTGTCAATTCTTTGAAGAATATCTTTTGTAGATTCAGGTGATACTCTTATATCATCATCTGTTGTAGGTCTTTTTAAAACTGGAGGTAAATGTTCACGAAATCCTCCAAGAATTACACTCTCTTTTCCTGTATAACAATATGTATCATCGCGCTAATAAAAAGAGAGAGTAATTTAAAAAACTGTTAACATATCATTAGTTAGAATGGGTCGCTGTAAATCTTTAGACATGATCTAGACATGAGATAGAGGGTTTAATTTGATTGGAATCTATTGAAACAAAGAAATTATTGTCATATAGGTAGAAAAAGGCACTGAATGCGTACATGCCACACTTTAACATTCGATTTATGTGAGGGTTTGGATACTACCTGGGCGCCCAAACCGAAGCGAGTGATTCACTTGAGGAGTTACACTCCGAGTCTTTAACCTACAGGTTTAATCCACAAGGTAGTGGAGCAACGTCAGGAGATTCAATCACACGGTAGCGGGTGACCAATAGTTGGTTGATTAGCCATGTTAGGTGTGATCGATTAACGAACTCACCAATGATAAAGTGAAACGCCCACCACCACATTAACTTTCCTTGACCTTGTATGACTATGTCTTGTTTATTCACCAATCACAATTTTATGTTCATTACAAAATAATATTTGCCTTGTTGACTCATTTTTCTCTATCCTCTAGTTGCTTTTCGGTATGTTATTTATGTCTCCGTTTTTCCCTGTGTTAATAGACTGTACTGTTCGTTTTGTACACTAACGGTGTTAATTGGTGTTTTAGAAACAGTTGAAGTTTATCGAGCCAAATAGCTTACTTGTTTTGACTTTGGCTAAACCAAGACTCTGTGCTCGACAGTCTAGAGAATAGCTTAGAGTTAAACCTGTAGGAAGTTGCTTCCTACAAGCCATTTGATCCTTCAGAATCCTCTAGCCCACGTGCTCTATTGGTTTGGAATGACGGTTTTCAAACTCCCCTAGGTGGATCCTACATATTCACTAACCCGGTTGAAGCACCGGACATTTGCTTTCCGTCCTCTCAATTTCGGGATTAACCACTTTCAAAGCACTTGATCATTATTTTGACAGCTCAAACATAGATCGTGACATATTTCAAGAAGTAAGTATAGTGGTTCAATTTTATTATTACACATAAAGTAATAATGCAAAAAAGTTATCGCCTTAGTCAAGCATCGAGACTATGGAACTCCATCAGAAAAACGTTTATTCAATCACATGATGAGAGGTTGACTGAACAAAAATTATCTCGAGAAGACAGTTATTTACAAAGAAAATTAATGAAACAAACTGATTAAGTGCTTACAATGTAATTTAATAGTTGAATTCATGAGTCAATTAAAGCTAGACCACTATGGAAAATCCGGAAGTACTAGGTATCTGTTGGGACTCCTCAGCTCAGAAAATCCAGGTTTCCGCTAGCGGGACTCAAACCCAGGACCTATCCGTTTCGCGCGCGAACGCTTAACCTCTAGACCACTGAGCCGGAATCCAACAGCCATCCAGTACTTTCAGGTTTTAATTAATTAACTCATGAATTTAATTATAAAATTACTAAAATCTCCACAAAACCCACTTTTGATAATACTTGCAATGTAATTGTAACGCTTATTTTGATTGGATTAAGCACAATATCGAGACTGATCCCGCTAGAGGGATCGTCGATGCGCACCGCGGAGGATTCCCACAGTGAGACGAAACGGCCTTCCAGTGCTTCCAAGTTTTTCGTGGTGATCTAGCTTCAATTGACTGATGATCTCAACTGTTGAAATTACCATAATATTCGCAACGTCCCGCCTGATATTAAAGCTTACCAATTAAACTGTCTTAGCTAAGAGATTATAACCCAACTCAACCCAAATCATCCACTTGAAATACAAGTACTCAGAATTTTATTCTCTTACACGTACAGCTTTATCGAATAGACTATTTAGAATAAATCATTTAAGGAAATTAATATAATTGTCGTCATCACACACACACACATACATCTAAACATATTCGATAATCTTATGTACAAATAGCTTATAAAACGTGAAAAAATGAGAAGTTAAAATAGTCACAGTAAATACAGTTCCGACAGTAAAAAGAAAATCGATTATTGTGTATTAATTATTTAGTTGTTCTTATATTCTGGTGTGTGCTACTGATGTTGAACGATAGAAGTAGTATATATCATCAATCGAAAGTAACAATGTCTGGTGATCTAGTTATATAATATACCTTTGTTGGTCAAGGTAATTTTACGTTGGTTTTCAGGAGAATCAGACATCATCCAGACTTTCACGTGGCAACCCAAACAGTACAGCTCAATCTCGCTTCACAGGAGAACCAGACACTGTATAGGCTTTAAAAATACAATCTGAATAGTACAGCTCAATCCTGTGGCACAACCACACAGGTACCAAGCAACCTGGTGGACGATTTGCACCATGCATATACACATTCACATCACATGTATAGTTATTCAGATCAATGATCGCGTGAATCAATTATGCAAAGCACGAACAGGAAAAAGTTGACACATCCCGTTTTTACACGACAGTCAAACTCATTATTGTTAGCAATGGAGACATGGCTTACAATATCCCAATGATAATGGCCCATGAGAACACTGAAAAGTTACCACCAGTATGAATAAAATCGATTAACCAGCAAATCGATTTTGTGCGTGAACAGTTAGCAAAATTTGTCACAGCAATACTGAACCATCCACAATACCGATGGCAAACCTCCAGACTCATATGAGACCTTCAGCTCTACATAACCATAAACTTTTTGTAGTGATTCATTAATGAAACGTATTGATTTTGAAATTGGTTGACAGTTTGTGTCTGTGAGTGCGCGTGTGTGTTTGAATAGCATAATGTTTTTTTCGATAGACATGGTGAACTACTTCACTTTCTATGATGAATAAGTAAAATATCTGAAATTCATTACTGAAAGTATCTAGATATTCTAATACCAACTTTGAGAAGCACAACTTTCAACTCTTGATTCACATAATGAATAATAGATAAATCTAGCTAACTGTTGTTGTAGTGAAATATGACTAATTAAGTAATATTGTTTAATCATATCTTACTCAATAGACTGCTGTGCCACCAATCTAACAAATGATACAACATTCACTATTTAATTGTATATAATGACAATGTCACCCGTTTGTAGTGAACCAGAACAGAATTGGGATGAATCAAGAATATTTGAATGCAAAATTACTGAATCTCTTAGTAAAATCCGAGAACCGTACAGTGAATACTTCATTTGCAAAATGTTAATCAATCGTCTCAGATTTCATTGTTCTTGTGTTTCCACACTTATCATTCTCTGTGCTCATTCTCTCTCTTTCGATCTTATTAACCTTCTGTCACCAGGCATTTCATCTTCGATTGATGGTACATACTACTTACATCTAGATAAGATGGTGGTTGAAGGTAGTCAACAGGAAACTTTGGACCTAGTTTCCATGCTATTTGATACTCGTCAGAAAGGTGTACCTGTAATCTTGAGGGAACTGATGCTCCCTGACGTATTTGGTTCCATGTCATCCAACTTCACAGTTAGAGACTTTACCACTGAGCTATCTAGGCAACGACTGACTTCCCATCAGGGAGCACCAGTTCCCTCAAGATTACAGGTACACCTTGCTGACGAGTGCCAAATAGCATGAAACCCAGGTCTAGAGTTTTCTGTTGACTGCATCCAACCACTATCTTATCTCAACATAATGCACGCAGTATCGAGTCACCTAGACTAGTAGTCACCTTGCAACTTGGTCGATAGGATTCGATTTGCACTAAAGAGGCTCTGATACACATGACATTGATCACCACCAAGTTATCGATCAAATGTCTGTTAAGATCAGTAGCACACATCACATGTTCATTACTGGTTTGTATTGATCAGCAATATATACATATATATCTACAGTCAAACTGTAGTCAAAATGGTTCAGTAATATCGTTCCTAAATATTGAAATTGTTTGATATTGGCAAGAATCTCTATAGACAGATTACCTTAAAATTACAAATATATTGTGCTAATAAGTGTCCAGCATTATGAATCGGAATATAAACCTTATTTATTATTTATAATTCATTTACAGTAAATAGTTAGTGTAATGCAAGTATTCACATACAATTAAACATACGAGTTGCAAATGACACCCATAAGATTCAATTGTTTAAAGTTATACAATTATTTACCCTGTAGTGTCAGTTATTATGTTAAGCCCATATAGGCTATTCTAACTTCTGGATAAGCTAATCTATTCACTCTTCTTGAGTCACATTTTGACTTTATCACTTGTTCGCTTGTTAACCATGACTGCTTTTTATATCTGTAGCTTATTTCTATCTGATTCAATAATGCTTGATTAAATAGAATTGACTCATACGCCTTCTCCATTAGACGTCCTTTAATTTCGCTTCACTCTGCCTTCTCCACTTCCTTTGCTGCGATTCTCTGATTGCCTGTTCCGATCAACGAGTGTACCATATATATTTCGACGGCAATCATTCATATCATATAAATGAAGTCAATTCCTGGATCACTTAAACCCCTGTTCTTGGCAAAACTGACAATTTATATATATGGGGAGGGTGGAGGTTCAGGAGATTGATTTAACATTTAGATAGTGTTCTCCAAAGACTAACCTAACTTGATCATGAGTGCGCACTGCTGAAGAGGCTCACAATAGGACGAAATGGCCGTCCAGTTTTTCTAGGTTTTCTATGATGATCTAGCTTCAATTAGTTCGTAATCTCAACTAGTGAAACAAACTTAAAATACAAATGATAACTGTGAAGCATTAAATAAAGATTATATACAAGTTTACGAGTTTATTGAAGTGTAGACTTATGAACATATCAAACATCCCCAGCTACAAATTTTGGGGAAAATTTCACCCATTTTGGGGAAGACACTATGATGAACTTTAGGGAAATTTTTTGGTTTTATTGCCATTTCCCCAAAATTTCCCTAGACCTGGGGAAATTCCCTGATATTTCTACAAAATTCCCCTTTAACCTTGGTCAAGGTCATTCGACTTTGGGGGATTTCCCCAAAATTTCCCAAAATTTCCCCAAACTTGGGAGTTTGGAATAGAACATAGAACACAAACAGTGTAATCTTTGATCTCATATTGTTAAAAAGAAAAAAAAAGAAGAAAGAAACACATTCACTTACCCCGAAATAGAATCCAAATTTCATCCATGGTGCTAGAACACGTACTAATTGACCTTTAACTGGTCTTATTTCTGGATCATGAAATAAATAACCTGATCCTAATCCAGTACAATTAATAATTATATTGATTTTTTGTTCTTTAGCCCAATAATATAATTCATTTGAAGAAGTAAACGCTTGCTCTCTTTCACTATAAATAGATTGATCATTTGGAATTAAATTTTTAAGTTCATTCAATAAGTAATTCATATAATAACGTGGTTCTACAATACATGTTGTATAATAATAAGCTGATTTAATATGCTTAGCAAATCCAATAGACTGAATCTATTAAGTTAAAGCAGAAAACAAAAAACAATCTTGAGTATGGAGTTATAGAGATGATGCAGTTTTTGGATTGAGATCATGTTAGATCATCATTGAAAACCTAAATGGATGTTTTGTCCTATTGTAAGACTCCTCAACAGTGCATATCCATGATTCCGCTTACGAATCGTTGGATACTGGCTCAATGGTTAAGGATTCGTGTGTGAGATCAATAAGTCCTATATCCGAATCCCACGAGCACGATTATGAATGCTCACTATTGAAGAGTCCCACAATAGGACGAAACATCTATCCAATACTTTCAGGTTTTCAATGATGATCTAACACTCATCGATTCATGATCTTAATAAAAAAACACATCTTATTTACCTCTTCTTCATCTAAAAATACAGTTTTTCCACATAATTTACTTATAAATGGTCTATCAAATTCATTATATTCTGATAATTGATAAGTTGGATGAAAGTATACACCAGTATTCGATGAATTCCAACTAGTTGCTAATTTCCAATATTGTTCACGTCCAGCATTACACCAACGAATAAAATCATTGAATTGATCCTGATCATATTCTGATCCTGGTAATAATTTAGGATCTGGTCTAAATATACCAGCTGCACCATAACTAGTAACCATAACATTTTTCTTATCAGATTGTATAAGAATTTCTACATTGGAATAATTTTCTTTAATTAAGAATGCTGTTGATAGACCAATAATACCAGAACCAATGATACCAACTTTCATTGATAATATTTTTGTAATATTATTGTTATTTTGATGTTATTACCCGACTTAGTAACTAAATTGATCATGACCTTGACATTGGAAATCTGATTGGTTGCCTAAATGGAAAAAGAATAAATTAACTAATAAAAATGTACTGATTAAATAATCAATAATACTGACTATAAATCAATATGGATAAAATGAGGAATATTGTCGTGGATTGGTTGAAGTTAGATATTAACACCGTTGGATGCTGGTCAGCTCAGTGGCCTGTGGTTAAGCGCTCGCGCGCGCGCGACTGATGGTTCCTGAGTTCGGATCTCGCGTGGCGGGATCGTGGATGCGCACTGCTGAGGAGTCCCATATTAGGACGAAACGACCTCCCAATGCTCTCAGGTTTTCCATGGTGGTCTGGCTTCAATTGACTCATAACTTCAACTATTGAAATTGTCAATAAGATTGATTGTGAAATCATAAAACAATAACACAAATAAAGTTCGATTGGACCATGGTAACTGAATTCAGTGTATCAGATAGTAACAATCTATCGATTATTAGTAGATATTATGATGTTAAGCAAATATGAATAATGGTTAGCAGTGGAATCCAGGATGTGAGTTTCGTCCCGTTTGAGACTCGTCAGTTGGATATACCTGCATCATAGATTTGATATTCACTCTGGGACTCGAACTCAGTACTGTTCACTTCCAATGCCATTGTGTTATCCCCTTAGCTACTGAGTCCTTATAGCCACCTCCTTGTGCAACAGGGTGAAGTTTAAATTCATTTGCTGTTGTTTTACTTGTATCTTCCCAGTGTTATTTAGGGCTGCAATTGATCAGTCACTTGTTAGCATATATGTATCCTATGCGGATTGCCTCGATATAGGCTTAAGTCACAAGCTTTTTTAAGCAAAGATAAATAGTGGTTAGCAGTGGAATCCAAGACACGAGTTTCGTCCTATTTGGGATTGTTCAGCTGGATACACCTGCATTTTAGAGTTGATGTTCGCTGAATGAAATAGATACACCATACTCTTAAACATATCAGATCATTCTCCTTGTGTTACGTTGCAGTTGTTCAGTCTATCAAGTTTTTGTAGATCCGGACATTGCGCTAGGAGGATATCGCAGTTATTTATAATTAGGAATTACTGTAGGTTGATCACAATAATTTATTTTCAATTGATTAGTCACTGGATGGTGATCAATGTCATGTGTATTAGGCCTTTCTTAGTGCAGATTGAATTCTATCAATCAAGTTGCAATGAATCAACTAGTTTAGGTGATTCGATATTGCGTGCACTATGTTGAGATATGATGGTGATTGAAGGTAATCAACAAGAAACCCTGAACCTAGGTGTACCTGTAATTTTGATAAGGACTGATTCTCCTTGACGGATTCAATCCAATGTCATCCAGCTTCGCATTCAGGGACGTTACCATTAAGCTATCCGGTCCATGACTGACTTTCTGTAGGACTAACATAATGGTGGTTATCACCCAGTGATCAATCAATTGTAAATACACAGTGATTATCAGTCGCCTCAAGATTACAGGTACACCTAGGTTTGTGGTGCGTGCTACTTTTATATATATAAGTAGTATATATAAGTAGTATATAAGTAGTATATAACGCGAGTCAGGAATGTAATGTCTGGCAGCAGAAGATTGGGAAGATCAAGAAAGGAAGAACGGGAATAGAAAGCAATTAGTATAGAAATGCAAGAACAATGAAGTCCGAGACAGTTATTGAACATTCTGCAAATTGGGCATTATAGTATGGTTATTCTATTTTACCAAGTAACTCTGTAATGTTTTGATTAATATATTTCGGTTGTCCTCACCTGTGTTCTTGCTCACTACATTTGGTGTCGCTGCCTCGACTAAGGATGAAGATTCCATGGCCGAAGGAAACTGAGGACGGAGATGTGCTGAGCTTCCTGAATGAGTTAGAGGCCGTGGCGGAGTTGGTGGGAGTGAAGGAGCCGAAGGCGAAGGTGGTGGTGCTAGGAGCGCTGCTGATAGGCAGCTCAAAAGGCTGTATATAACAGCTTGGACGGTGCTGGCGGGAATACGACATGGGAGACAATCACGGATTGGTTGATGGCGGAGTTTGACAACCCAGTGGACGGGGAGTAGACACTGCAGAAGTTCCGGTTGGTGAGGTTGTCGGTCTATGGTGACCCACTGGTTCTGGCTGTGGAGCTTACCAGGTTGTTGCGCCGTGCGCTGCTGAATCTGGATGAACAGTCGGAGGCGAATTTATTGGCGTCGTAGTTTGTCGAGAGTGTGCCTGCCACCGTTTTCCAGCAGCTGAAACCAGTAAACGCAGCACAATCTATGGATATTAGTGAAATAACGAAGGTGACTCGACGGCTGATGACATGAACAGTAGCTCCAGTCGGATGAGGATAAATATTGTCGAGAAGAAGATTGAAGAGCTGAAGCGTGAGATTGCGGCAATAAGGGTGAATCATAAAAGAAATGATAAATGTTCAATAATTGTCTCGGACTTCACTGTTTTTACATTTCTATACTAATTGCTTTCTATTCCCGTTCCTTCTTTCTTGTTCTTCCTAATCTTCTGCTGTCATGACGTTACATTCCTGACTCGCGTTATATACTACTTATATCAATATAAGTAGCACGCACCACAGGTCTAGAGTTTCTTGTTGACTAACTTCAATCATCATCTATTCAAAATGAAACTTATCCATTATATAGAATATATATTTACCGAATGAACTGTTTATCAATGATTTCTATGTATCATTCATATTCTATTCATACATAAATTTTATCGGATAATTCATAACCATAAATATACAATTAATGAATTAGTTTATTTATCCATTGAATAAACAATGTTGTGGATCAAAGAAATTGACCTGAAACTCTGAATAATCTTATTTGTTGTTATGGTTAAGGTCAGTAAAACGAATTCGTTTGACATGATCAAACAATGAAGGGGGGTATGATATATATATCATATTGATTGAGCGGGGAGGGGAAGGGTGAGGGGGGAAAGAATGAAGTCCATGATACAATAAATTAGTGTTTATCGTCGGTTATTGTGTTTTTAATCTTAGAATTATAAGTAATTTTTCAATAAGATACTTAGTAGATCAAAGAAAATTCTTTATAATTAGTTTTTCATTGTTTATTTGAATAGATAAATATCGTTACAAAGGGGGTACCAAATACATATGCATCATTCAGGTCACTTGATTTGACTCATACACCATTTTTTCTTTCAGAATACTTGAGCTGATGTGCACCATTGGATTGGCGAGAAGGTAGTTAGTGAAACTTCTCTGACAGTGGCTGTATACACGTGGCCATGTGAGAGCATTTTGAAAGAGACAGAGCTGACTCTCACACCGTACTAAAGCATTTGGGGGCAAATCGAGTAGTGATGTAGCATAATAATCACATAAATTCAGAATGATTATAAAATAACGTCACAGCACGCTGATTAACTACTTCTTAAACAATCAATGGTACCGGATACTTAGAGAAGACTCTAAAATCGTCTTATATAAAACCTTCTTATTGTACTTCTTACTTCCATCAACCCTTGTTATTTGGAATATAATGATGTTCCTAATCAACCGTGTTCTAATATGGGAACTTGTCGTGTGAATTAGTGTCTAAGAATACCAAACAATAAGTTTGACTAGTTCGTATTAAGACAGATCATAACATTACCTACCAATAAGTAGTATGTATTTGTTGATAAAAGAAAGTACTCCTTTTTTGGTGATCAATTGTCTATTCATAAAAGATTAATCATAGAGAAACTGTACAATTATCATAGTCTCTGAATATGAAAGTAAATGATGAACGATTAACTTATCATTTAAGTAAAATATATGTAATTTTAGTGGTTGAGATTATGAACCGATTGATTTTAGACCACCGTGGAAAACCTGGAAGCACTGGATGGCCATTTCGTCGTATTATGGGACTCTTCAGCAGTACGCATCCACGTCCTACAATCCGAGTCTCACAACAGGATGAAACAGCTATCCAGTATTTCCAGATTTTCCATTGTGATCTAGTGTTAATTGACTCATGATCTCAAACTGTTTAAATTACTATAATATCTACGAGAAAACCCCTTCTGATACTAAAATATATGTATCAGATAGTTTGATTTAATTGCCTGATATTAATGAGTTCAGGTTTTGGGAAAATTGTCATATATTATGAAGGTGTTGAGATTAGATGGTGGTCTGAGGTAGTCGACAGGAAGCGCTGGACCCGCGGTTCGTGCTACTTGGCACTCGTCAGCAAGGTGTACCTGTAATCTCGAGGGAACTGGTGCTCTCTGGCGGATTCGATCCCGTGTCATCCAGCTTCGCAGTTAGAGACGTTACCACTGAGCTATCCGGATAGCGATTGACCTCCTGTAGAACTGAAATGTAATCACAATTGATTGATCACTGGGTGGTGATCAATGTCATGTGTGTCAAGTCCTTATTTAGTGCAGATCGAATGATATCGACCATGTTGCAATGTGGCCACCAATCTAGGTGACTCGACCCAGTGATCAATCATTTATGATTATGGAGGTGTGTCCGATATAAACCCACTTAGTACTGCTTACTTGAAGCTTCCCATTGTTGTGTAGAACTGCAATTGATCAGTCTTTTATTGACATATGTGCATCCTGTGCGGATTGCCTTAATTAATAAGCATTACGTGCAAAGATGGATAGTGGCTAGCAGTGAAATCCAGGACGCGCGTTTCGTCCTATTTCGGACTCGTCAGCTGGATGTGCCTGCATCCCAGACTTGATGTACACTCTGGGACCCGAACTCAGGAGTTGGCTATCAGAACTCAGTATCTAAGTGTATAACGCGATAGAATTTGAAGCCAAAGATACTGAGTTCTAGTTCTAGATTGAACATCACCTTTGAGATGTAGGTACATCCAACTGACGAGTCTCAAATAGGACGAAAACACTCATCCTTTATTCCACTTCTAACCACTATCTATCCATCTTTGCTTATAAATTCAAACAATATCGAGGCAATCTGTATAAGATGAACATATGTCAACAAATGATTGATCAATGACAGTTCTACATAATAATAGAAAGATACATATAAACAATATCAAGTGTATTTTACATCTAAATATGTTGATTATATGTCATAATGATTAGTTTCTATTGTTTAGTTGAAAACCCTCATTCATATTAGTTTCTATTGGTTCAACGGTATGATTTCATAAAGTAATTGAAACTTTTTGTATGAAAACTTAATGAATGAACCAATAATGAAGTTAGTACTTAAGTGAATTCTATTCAATTGACCTTATATATATATATAAATATAACCTTAAATGATCAGATATATTCGGCTGGGTAACTAATTTGGAATAAAGAAAAGTATATTTTTATTATCTAAAATAAGGTTGGTTTATTTGTATTTTATAATTTCGTATTACTAAGTTACTTACTTACTTATTTACTTACGCATGTAACTGTTCATGGAGGAGCATCGGCTGCTCATCAGCTTTCATCATCCAACTGTGTCCTGGATAATTCTTTCCAGTTGTTTCCAGTTCCTATTGATCCTTTTCATGTTTGTTACCAATTCTTGGAGTGTATGTTCTTTGATTCTCATCTTTTTTTTGTTTCTCTTCAAGATTTCAAATTAGGGTTTATCTTGTGATTCAGTTTGATGATTTTCGTATTGTTCATTTCCAACGTCTTTTCCTAATTTCTTCTTTAGCTGGAAACTGGTTTGTTCTCTCCCACAGAAGGCTGTTGCTGATGGTATCCGGCCAATGAATTTTGAGTATCTTGCGTAGACAATTGCTTATAAATACTTGTACCTTCTTGATGATGGTTACAGTAGTTTTTCACGTTTCAGTTCCGTACAGTGGAACTATTTTTACGTTTGTATTAAAGATTCAGACTTTGATATTGGTTGACAGTTGTTTTGTGTTCCATATGTTGTTCAACTGGAGGAATGCAGTTCTTACCTTTTCAATATTCACCTTTACATCTTTATTAGATCTTTCAACATTCATCGATGATGATATTTTCTCCATTAATGAATCTCGAGTTATACCTTTGAATAGTTCACTTAGATTAGTCTTTTACAATATGTTTATTGTAGATTTTATAAGTATTACCATTAATTTGTCATGCTTTAATTGTATAAAAGTTTAATAGAATACTCAAAATACACACCGATAACTTAACAGTCTTGTAGTGACTGTGCTTCGTTGACCAATCACCCTCGTAACCGTTATCATATAATCCTCAACGGTGTTTGAAATCAGAAGGCAAAGAGAAACAGCGACTACAGTTTTATTGGCAGATAACTCAGATCACAAAGCAGAGAGGTAAATGAATGAGTCAGCGAACCGAGAGTGTAGAGTGTGTAGAGCGTAAATGTACACCTATTTCATACAAGCACAACAATAATAAAGGTACCATAAACTGTTATAGTACGGATGACTTTGTCCGCTAAATAAGTTAACAAAAGGGCTTAACCGAATTCAATGAGAAAAAACTCAATTGCATGTGAGTTGCTATAATCTTCCTGAAGTTTGTGTTGAACGATGAAAACGCCATGACTAAATCATCCATTTCAAACAATAAAACTTCATCAGATCGTTCAACGTTTGATCTCATGTTAGATTGTGTGTTTGAAGTGTTTAAATAGTCTAGTAATGAAAAAGAAACAATTATCCTTTAATGAATGGTTTACATTCGTAATCTGGTTATTGTTCACGGAACTATATCCGTTTGATTCAATGATTTAATGATCAAGAATAAAATTCACTGGATGTTGTTTTACTTGTATCTTCCTATTGTTATTTAGAACCATAATTGATCAGTCTCATGTTGGTATATGTGCATTCTATTCAGATTGCCTCGATATAGCCTTAAGTCATAAGCTTTTTAAGCAATGGTGAATAGTAGCACAGGATGCATATATGTGTATATATCTATCGATATCAGTAGCAAACACCACACTACAATCTCCATAAAATTTCCTACGTTAATATGAGTCAATTACTATCACAATTTCATTTGACTTACCTGAACTTAGTGTTTGTTCCACTTTTCAGAGATTCAATCAGAATACAATCATCAGCATATTGAAATCTTAGTTCATTTACTTCAATCGACATCATGTATAACAATATTCTTCTTGCAATCACATTTATCATTCTTTCACTTCATGCTTCATACGCTGCTCACATGAACACAAGTCTAACAGCTTCGTTTAGTATTGGTTTAGGAATAACAACATTTGATGTAATTAAACAAATGGTATTAACATCTATGACTCAATCAAATAAACCAACTAGTCCATTATTGTTTAATTTTACGGATCCTCAAAATACACTTAGCAAATGGATTGAAGTATCCGATACAGTTCGAGTTGAAGGTAGATCTAAAGCTACACTTGTACCACATATTGGATATGTAGGTTTTTATTTAAATCTAATTAAATCGGAAAATATATTTAGAATTATCGATCAGCAATCTTCTTTTATTTACTTAATCCACAACCAACTGGTGCTTGTTTTGCTGGTGTCGACTACATATTAGATACTTGGGATTTATCAGCATATACAGGTGTTGTGATTGATCTACATAGACAAGGTCAAAATTCTAATTTCAAATTAATCTTCTATGGAAACTGTTCAGAAATATTCACTTGTCAATCATATGAGTCATTTTTCGAGGTAATGTGATATTCAATTGTATAGAATAATTCATTATATTTTTCTATGAAATCTTTATAGACATCTGGAGAACGTCAACAAATAAAATTACCATTTAGTACATTCAAACCATACTTTCGTGGAGAACCGAAATTTGATTTACCATCTTTAGATATAACTCAACTATCACGATTCGGTATACAATCATATGGTGGTATCTATGCACCGACAAGACAATTTGGTCCAGGTTCCATTGAAATATTCACTATTTCAGCATATAAGGAAGATCAACTGACAGCCTAAAGAAATCAAGACTACGTGATAGGTGGTATTTATTGATACTATGATTCTGTTTAGTTTGTATTAGGTAGTTTTATCAATAAATTTTATATATTGACCAAAGAGTTTTGAATGTTTTCATGAGTTCCTTGGAAGTCACATGAACATTATTGAAGACAAACGGTGATGTCTATCATCTGGTTGATTGAAAAAGTAATCAAATAGTTAAGAATATGTTCTGTCTATTCCACAAGTGAGATTATCAATTCAATAGTTTACATAGATTAGTCAGTATTTACTGGATCATCAAAACTATATGATGAATTTGAAGTTTGAAATGACTGTAAAACTGTCATAAATCCCCTGTTGGATTTAGAATAAAGTGGTAAGACAGGTGAAATCAAACTGAAAATTTTGGCAAATGATTTGTAATCAACGACGGACTATGATTGATAACAACATAAGTAATGTATTATATGAACCTCAGTTCATGGGAGGCTTAAGGCGATTATTTTCATCAAGTTATGATCAAAGAGCAGCTGAGTCCCATACTAGGACAAGATGGCTGTCCAGTGCTTCCAGGTTTTCCATGGTAGTCTAGCTTCGAATGACTCATGACTCCTCAGCAGTGCGCATCCACAATTCTGCTCGCGAGATTTGAACACACGGTCTTCAGTCTCGCACGTGAACGCTTAACCTACTGAACCACTGAGCTGGCGTCCAATGGTGTTAATGTCTAACCTCAACGAAACGGCCGTCTAATGCTTCCAGGTTTTCAATGGTGGTCTAACATTAATCAGTTCATAATCTCAATAAAAAACTTAAAAATCTCCACAACCCTCAAACTCATACAGTAAATAGTTAATTTGCAAAATATCAATCAATTTTTTTAAACTTGACCGTTCCTTTTGCAAATATCAGTCCATCATCCTACATTTCATTGTTCAAGCATTTCCATACCTATTGATTTCCATTCTCGTTCTTCCCCTTTCGATCTTCCAATGAAATACACTCTATACCTGACCATCTTTATATACTACTTATATAGATATAAGTACAGTATAATGTGAAGCCCTAATCATTGCATGTCTTTTTTCTCACAGTAAAAGGATCTAAAATTCATATCCATGAATATTTAGCACATTCCATTTCTTAGTTTAATCAATGTTCGCGGTGTCAAGCATTTTCGTACATATTTAGGTTCATTTAGTGAATGAATACCGTAAGAGCTAGATTTTCACAGAGGATTTCATTCCAAGCTCTAACTATCAGTTTATTTCCCAATCAGTATGTATAGGTAAATACCCGATTAGTACCTGAAAATTAGGACTATAGGTGTTTGTGTGTGTATGTGTAATATTCAGATTATAACTTTCCTTACGTGAAAAAGATGAATAGCAAGTGGAAAGAACTGGAGAGGATTGCCCAGGACAGAGCTGCGTGGAGATGCTGGCAAGCGGCCTATGCTCTTCCATGAAGGATAACAGGCGTACGTAAGAAGGTGAGTAAGTAGCGTTTGTGGTATCAAGTATTTTCTTACATATCCAAGTTCATTTGGTGGACGAAAACTGATGATCTCATTCCAAGCCCTAACTATCAATTTATTTGATTTTACAACCAGTAAGTTGGAATGCTATACAGTGTTGTGTTTATAGAAGTCGACTGAAACGATATAACTTGTAACATCAAGCTATTATATACAGCAATCATACACTAAACGAACAGAAAAATGTTCGAAGATACCGGGTATTAAACCTATTAAAGCCAGGTCAGTTGTCTAATAGTTAAGCGCTGACGTGCGAAATTGATATGTCCTGGGTTCGAGTCTCGCCAGACGAGACCGTGGGTGTGCACTGTTGAGGAGTCCTACAATAGGACGATACGGTCGTCCAGTGCTTCCACGTTTTTCATGGTGATATAGCTTCAATTGACTCATGATCTCAACTTATAAAATTATTATACATTTATTGAATATCAGACAAAAGGATGGTTCATTCTACTTGTACTAACACTGATCTGTGAAATTCAATCTACTTGTGATTTCAGTAGTATCCCTTTAAAACTTTAACTGTTCATTATATTTACTTACGGATTTAATGAACAGTTGTTAGGTATATGCCTGATTCGTACCCCAGAATTCGAACTATAGGTGTGCATGTACAATTTTTAGATCATAATTCTCATCAAATCTTTTGAATTATATGATATTTATTACAGCCATATCCCTTTCATGGATATTCATCTCTGAGGATATGCATGTGCGTGCTTGTATATAACTGGTAATCTCATGTTCGTTTATTCAATTGCGATTAATGTCTCACACGTCCATTGTATATAATCAGATGATCTTTGTATTCCACTCTCAACAGACAATATGAAACTGATCACATTCATGATATGTTGACTGGATGAAACTCATCGTCTCATTGTAAGAGGAAAGTATAAAAGTAAATGATTATGTAATCGATTGTAGAGATTAGGTACTATTCTTTGAAGGTGAGTCATTCAAATGTTCAGCATTGGATTAGTATTTCGTTAACTTTTTGAATTTTACCTCTAAACCATGGATTCACACTGATGTATAATTTGTCAATAACAGTAACCGTTAAATATAACAAATCGTTGTGGTCGTCAATATTTAGAGGAGTTCACCACTTGGAGTGGGTGATGGCAGTGCAATATTCAGAATCAACCGAAGTTAGAAATGTGAACTGTGAGACGCTAACCTGATGATCTGAGTGTTAAGGACTCGACAGGGTATTATACGTGATCATTGTTGGATACTACTCTGGAGATTCATACTAGGACTATAAGTAATATCCACTGATTTTGAATCTCCCATAGTTGTTGAACTGAAGTCCTTCTTTGATGAGACGTTATGAGTTGAACAATATCTACATATATCTAATAAATATTCTATAGGTAATGTATGGTGTTTGATGTTTGTGTTGATATTTTGTCAACGTAATTTTCAACGATTCACACGATGTATTACACAAAATCGAGTCAGTATTCACCTCACAACACAGAAACCTCAAATATTCAACCAACTTAAAGTGGTCCACAAAATAGTTAAATAACACAAATGATATGAACTTTGATCCTTTCACTTCATATCTATGGAATTTTGAATGTAAATAGAATATATACTCTGAATTGAGTTATAGTAAAGTTAGGTAGTTTAGTTAACTAGTACATAAATATTAGGCTTGTAAAGTGTGAAAGCGTGCACCTAATACGGAATATCAAATGTTTATGGAATAGTAGAAAAGTAACATTGAAAGTAATTGTGAATCACAGTTATATTCTGAGCTAACATGTACAGATGGAGCAATTAGACCGGCATTAGCTTTTAAATTTTAAGTAGAAAAAAGTCAAATAACCAAACACATTCCGGCTCATCGATTCTGAGTAGCATATATCAGACGATTTCTTGTTAATATAATGATTGATCTATCCAAACACAAGTTGTCACTGGGGGAGTTTACTGATAAAATAATCCACTTTAATTGAACCGGGAATTTGGGTGACATGATGAGTTAGCCATTTGCAGACCAAATGGTTAAAGTGTAACAGTTTAACTTCCTCATTTACGTTGATTCACTATATCATATGACCATCATTCTCTGTTACTAGTGATAAATATGTAACCACCAACGCTGTACTCAGTTGTGTCTAGCTTCACGATAGTTTACCATAGTTTTAATGAGAAATAATGACCTAACTAATGCAAATCCAGTGCTTCCAGGTTTTTAATGGTGGTCTAACATCCATCGCTTCATGATCTTTATCAAAAACTTAACAATCTCTTCAACCCCTAAAGTAATGCAAATATGTTAAGAACGTAGCAGTGGTAATCAAAATTGAACTGTGTTTCGGTAGTTGTATAGTCGATTGGTAAATGATTGACAAGGTATCGATAATAACCTGTAACTGATACAACGAAACTGGTAAGTGTTCATCATGATTTCCAGTAAGAAGTAGTATTCATTAATTGACCAATGAATAGTGGTCAAAATCACACTTATCTAGTCTTCTCAGTGTTGATCGAGCTTCAAGTGAGCCCCCGAATGCCCTGGTATGGCCGAGAGTGGGGTGAGTCCGCTCTCCCTCTCGAAATACTCTCACACGGCCGCGCGTATACAGCCTCTGCCAGGGAAGTCCTACTCATTGCCTTCTCGTGGCGGGGGTGTTGTTTACAAAAATGAGAGGACGAAAAGCGAATGTCCGGCGCTTTAACCGGATCACAAACCAATGGTGCACATGGGCTCCAGTATCCTGCGGGAACAAATGGCGTATGAACCAATCTTTGGTCACCGGCTACCATGGGATTGCATCTCCTTACGATGCTCCACTGCCTTGTGGGTTAGACCTTTAGGTCAAAGGCTCGGGGAGTGGCCCCCTAAGAAAACCACCTGCTTCGGTTTGGGCACCCGGGCAGTATCACAGCCCACACACAAACGATGAACTCTATGTCTTTGGCAACTACTTTTATCGCTCCGAAAAACAAAAACAATCAATCGAATCAAATAATTATCATTACTATTATTGTCATTATTAATACTATTATTATTACTATTATTGTAGTTATTATTATTATTATCATTATTTTCCACATTATTCACCCTCTTTTATACTTATACAGCGGCTCGTCTTTGGTGGAAATCCGACTGTATCTAAACGTTCTCGAGTCACTGTCCGGTTGAAAGTTGTATGTTACCATCGAATATGAGTACTGAAGCAGTTTTTCTGAAACCACGTGCGCCATTCAAACTGGCTGCCTTCAACGTTCGCACACTTATGCAGGTTGGTCAACAGATAGGGCTGGCTATGTCTTTGGAAAGTCTTAATATCGATGTCTGCTGTCTATCCGAGACCCATATTCAGGACTCTGGTGAAGTACTACAAATTCGCTCTACATCTGTCACTTCAAAAAGCTTGTTTTACGTGCGCTTATCCAGAAACCCTGTGGCATCTTCGTCTGATCTTGCTGGCGTTAGTGTCGCACTAAGCGCTAGAGCTGAGGCAGCACTAGTCGACTGGATCCCCATTAACAGTCGGTTACGTGCTGATAGATTAGAAAGTTCCATCAAAGTGAGAAGAAATCGGCTTGAGAAA